TTCGTGAGAGAAAAGTGTGAACGTAATTGCTGAAAGTTCGGTGACAGTTCGTTGACATCTCGTGACACATCGTTAATAGGGTTAATGTATAATAGAGAGGACAGATGTTTACATATAAAAATATAAAAGACGTCCAGCGGCTGCAGCGTTGTATGTACAACGTGGTGAATGTGTATAGACGCGCAAATTTAATGGAAGCGTAGGTATTTTAATTAAAAGATTCTTGTAGAAATTATTATTTTTTTGTTGTCTATTAAAGACTTAAATATTGAATTTTTATGCATTGCATATTTATATTTTTATGTATGCATGCATTGCAATAATTTAAAATAAAAATAATTAAATAAGAGATAATAATAATAATTAAAAAAATAATAATTTAAATAATAATTTAAAATAAAAAAATAAACACACATGTACCATTTGTATTCTTTATATAAATACATTTATAAATTATGATTATTTTAATAAAAAAATTTAATATAGTATTTTTGTATTTTAAAGTTTAAAAAATGGTAATGATTTAATCGACTAACTCTGGCAAATAAGTAATTTTATTGAATTTCACAACGTTTCGGCCGTGGGTTTTGGCCCTTATCAAGTGCTCTAATATAACATTAACAATTATGGGTAAAGAAAAATAAAAATAATAAAATATATAGAAACTTTCACACGTTAATACGCAAACATACCTATGTTCTTCTTTCTAAAACAAAGTAAATCACAACTTTTTTAAAAAACAAAAATTTGATCTTAGAATATGACATGATATAATAACATAATAGTATAAAAACGAAATAACTATGTTATCGTATCGATTTTAAGCTCCTTATATACTCAATATTTAGATCAAACTAAACGACCTTTATTAGTTTCTCGTAAACATTATTTAGATTATTCGTGTCTTTTTGTAAATTAATTGTGTTGTCAAATTTTTTGATAAAAAACATCTCCGCGATTTCTCGTTTACTAACGTATTTCTCATAATGTAAAATTTCTGGAGCAGACCAATCGAAATCATGACCATTATCCAATTTATGATTACTGTGCGCGACGGAAAGCGGGATAGGACAGTCGGAAACGGGACGACAGAAAATCACTGCACTAAACACCCACGTATCGTAAAGACTAAATATATATTTAAACAACTAACACAAAAAAAAATACAATTATCCAGACCGCGAAAAATTAACCAAGAGATAGCCGAGTCGAAAGTACAAGCACAGTTCAATAAACGAGAGAAAAGCCGAGTCGAGAATTAATTGTTTCGTGTTCCGCAAGCAACGGTAATTTCGTTCAAAAAAGACAAGCGATCTTTTTCGGAGTTTAGAATCACACTCTATTCGCGACGATAAGCAATCGGAAAGAGCGCCGCTGCCGCTTGAGAGGAGGTTTATATAGGCCCTATTTTCGAGAATGTTTGCGAACATTTTTACTATTCTATCGTTAGGTTGAGGGCGAAAGAACATTTATTGTGATTGTTTATTACTCGATCGACATTTCATTTTTGTTATAAGTATAGCTGTGTTTATCTCCTCTTACGCGACCGCGATGTTTACAGTTTTCATGATATAACGTAAGCGCTTAATTTTTGGTGGCGCGGGGTAACCGTATACCCTTGCGGCCGAGCGCTATTTGAATATAATATGAAAAGTATGCATGTTACAATATAATGTTATAGAATATATTATAATATAAATTATAAGCATGATGCTTGTAGCATGATAATACTGCATGAAATGTTCTAATGAATATGCTAATGATTTTTATCTGCAGGTTTTGCACGTTCGATTTTCGAACATTCCGCCCGCCTTGCAGGAGTATGCCTGCAATCGGAATCGTAGCGCGAGAGTGGGGGCACGCACCTAATCACGTGCTCGCGAGTGACGGACACGTGGAGCGCACATGCTCCGACGGATTGGTGAATGGAATGCTGAACCGATCAGCTGTTTGTGACGCGCGTGACGGTAAAGAGGCCTATCGTTTAAAGCGTCGAGAAGAGCCGTGACAATTTTGATCTTCGGAAACGTCGTAAAGTGTAGTGATAGTGTCGCGACGAGAATAGTGTAGTGATGAGAATAGTGGAGCGATGAGAAGAGTGTAGTGATGAGAAGAGTGTAGTGATGATTGCAGGACAGTATGCCGGCGATGTGCAAGTGAACGTGAGAGTGACGTGAGATAGTGGCAAGAACAATGAAAATTTGTGAACAAAAATAAATGAATTATGTGAGACACGTGACGCCGGATTATCGTGAGGTGTCGTCGTCGCCCAGAAAGACTAATTTGTTGACGGGGCGCGTCAAATTAGTACTCGCGGTGCGGATCTCGACTACGCGCACGTGGCCGTCGGATCCGGGGTGCAATTTCGTTATGCGCGCAAGCGGCCACCGCGTTGATAGAGTGATCTCGCTGCGGAGCAAGCATAGTCGACCGACGCGAGCCTCCTGGTTGACTCTGGACCATTTCGGCCGATGGGCCAGCGTGTGTAAGTATTCGCTGACCCACCGAGACCAGAAATGGTCCTTCATCTGTTGCAGGAGCTGCCAACGAGAAAGGCGTCCCGACGGCTCTCGTTCGAGCGACGATTCGGGGATGGCGGAGAGCGCGGAGCCGATCAGGAAGTGACCGGGGATGAAGGCGGCTAAGTTCTCAGGATCGTCGGACAAAGGCTGCAGCGGTCGGGAGTTTAGGCAGGCCTCAATCTGAGGGAGCAGCGTCGTCATCTCCTCATAGGTGAGAGTTGCGTCCCCTATGACCCGACGAAGATGATGCTTTATTGATTTTACGGCAGCTTCCCACATGCCGCCGAAGTTTGGTGCCGCCGGCGGATTGAAACCGGATTTTTTCCTGTGCGGCGAATGCGGCGATGCGGCGTCCATCGGTACTGGCGGCTGAGAACAATGAGACAAGCTGCTTGTCGGCGCCCACGAAGTTGGTGCCCCGCAGTCGCTATAAATCGGCAGATTTTAATTTATCTTCAAAAACAGCTAAAGCAAAATAACTACGTAATACATCCCAATTTTCAAGTAATTTAACTACACATTTATGCAAACATAATCATCTGATATTGGATAATTTTAAAATCTTCTTTTTTTTAAACGTTAAAAGAATTTTGAAAATCTAGAATTGCAGATCTCTTTGCACTGTCCGAAATGTAAGTAGCAACTCCTTTAATCAAAGTTTCACAAAGCGAGAGCAATTTTTCACAGGCTTTACTTGCTATAATCGCGGAAGAATGACAAATACAATTTAATATGATTAAATTCGGCACTTCTAATTTTAAATGTGAATAAAAGGAATTGTTACATCCGACCATTACTGACGCGTTATCGCTTGCCATTCCAACGATATTTTGTATCGGAATTTTGTTTTTTTCTAAGAATGTTTTAAAAGTTTTCAACATATTTTTCGCGGTACAATTTGTGGCATCTAATGATAATAAATCTAACAATTGTGTTTTTACTTTTTTATTAATAGGACAAACGTATTGTACGAGTACGCACATAAATTTAGTATTTGTGACATCTGTGCTTTCGTCTATTAAAATGAAAAATTTACACGTTTTTAAAATTTCTATAAATTTTACTGTTTCGCGTTTTGTAATTATTTCTTTAACGATTTGAGTGCGCTTTATTCGGCCTAATAAAAGATCTCGTACAATTCCAGGCTCAATACAAATATTTTTTAATAAAGAAACTAAATGATCTACATTTCCAAAAGCAATATTATGTTCCGCAAAAAAGGATGCTAATTTAATTTCCGCGCGTTTTACTTTATCATTATATGTTAAAGTATTATCGACATCGGGAGGACTTTGATCATTTTGATGTTGACTTATTTTTGTCATATGTTTGACCGATTGTGAGTGAGCTACTAAATTTGTCTTATAACAAGCAATAGTTTTTTTTTACAAATATTACAAAATGCTTTATTTGGTTCAGAATGGGGAGTCAACCATCTTTTAAAAATTTTTTCGTCTAAACCATGAATTTGGAAATGCGCGGATTTTTTTAATAGCTCCTTTATTAATGTTTGGATTCATAATGCACTTTTATATTACATAAATTGTAATAATGTATTTATTTTTACTTACGTTATAGTACGTTCAATTTATCTGCCTTCTGCGATTCCGCCAAAATTCCGTGGTCCAGGGTCTTGGTCCGTAGCTGCGCGTGCAAACATTATACGTTACTGTAGTCGTCATGGTTACGTCACGGTAATACGCGCATGCGCGAAAAAAACTGGCCCGTCTAACAACACTGTGCGGAGCGTTGGGGGAAAATAGTAATTCGAACATATTCCCCGCGCGGTTTATCTGGTGTCTCTCTATTTCGTATATCGCGGTATGTGTATTCAGGCTTGACGGCGCAGGCTGTATCGTTATATCACCCTCTCGGTTCAGGAGGCCTGAATTTTGAGGCCTTACTCACGCGAAATAAAATGAACAAACAACAAAAAAAAACACAAAAGGCTACCTCCTAGCTGATGCGTCATCTGTACGTCAGGGCGCCGGTCTTGCTGAAGCGTACTACCCAGCGCCCTTGGGGGGACTGAATTTTGTATTTGCGGGATACGTGAACCGCAAAATGAGGCACGTCGAACTGGATGCCCGGGGCGACGCAAACCCGGATCGGGGGGGAGGGGGCAAGGGACCGGAGGGCATCAGGAGCTGTGGCCGTTCGGTCTCGATGATGTCCTTCGGCGTCGTCGTGGGCGGATTTCGGCGTGGAGCTGTCGGTGGCGGCTTCCGTCGTGGAGGCGGCAGCGACGGGGTCATTATGAGCCCTTCTAATTTCCGTCGGTTTACGTGATCGGACCGTTGTATAATCGTCCCGACTCGAAAGGGCCGAGGTGGTGGAGGCCATACCATCGGTTCGGACCCACGAGCGGAGGTTGACGGCGAGTCACCCTCGGCCAGGATCTTTTCGATTTCGCGTAGGACGTCGTCTGCCTCTTGCCATTTCGATACCTACTGACGTGTCTTTGCTCGGGTTCGCTCGTTAGAAGTCATCCTTGTTTTTGGCGGCGGGGTCGTCTGAGTTTTCTTCCTCGGTGTCGGTGTGATTGTTATTCTCCTTCTTTTCTTCGACTTCGGTGTTGACGTGACCCTCATTATTTTCATTATTTTCGTTATTCCGGTCGAGCCCGTGTGCCGGTTTTAGGTCTTGTATGTGCACGTGTCGATACCATTTCCCCCGACGACTGTGCAGGTCCATGATTACTAGGGAGATGATTCGCCGTACTTCGAGCGGGCCGATGAATTTCGGCGCGAGTTTCACGTTGAATTGTTGGGCCCGGTTTGACAGCGGATGGTCGCGTTTCCAGACCCATTTCCCAACTTCCGGTTACCAAGGGCGCCTGCGCATATTATAATATTTCTCTTGCCTATGAAACGCACGGGCTAGGTTGATGCGGACAAGCTCGTAGGCCGTGTTTAAGCCGTTTTTCACGCTGTCTGGGTTGGTCGTCAGTTGTCCTGGTGGGGCAATTGGCAGAGATACGTGTAGCTCCCGGCCATGGTTCAGAAATGCGGGCGTGTATCCGGTGGCATCTTGGACCGCGGTGTTATACGCAAACTGTAGGGCTGGTAAGTTTTTGTCCCAAGTCCGATGATCCTGGTCGACGTATCGGCTGATCATTGTTTTCAGCGTTCGATTTGCTCTCTCCGTAGGGTTGCAGTATGGAGCGTACGCCGGTGTGGTCCGGTGCTGGATGTTGAAGACGACTAATCTTTCGGTAAACTCTTGTGACGTGAACTGTGTTCCATTATCCGACAATATAGATTCTGGACAGCCGTGCCGTAGGATCACGCGCTTGGTGTTAGTCTCGGTGACGGCATGGGCGGTGGCTTTGCGAAGGGGTGCCATTTCTGCCCATTTTGAGAAGCGATCCTGTGCTACGAGGAGTCAAGTGTGCCCTCGGCGCGATCGTGGCAGTGGCCCGACTTTTTTTTTCTTTATAGTAAGGAAATTTGCTTTAACCAACAAACCGTACCAACTGGGCCCTGAGGGAGGGCCCAGCAGGCGTGTGGGGGATTCTCCACCTCTGAAAGAGATGGTCTGACCCAGCCTGAAACCCTTGCCTTGATGGGGTATTGTCCACCGGGAACCGCTTTCGCATAACTTCCGGTGGACACCCTCGGCCATGACCCCTTTCGGGGCTCTTCCCCTTGGAAGAAGGTGGTGTTTCCTCCAGGAACACAATCCCGCGCTCACTCTCCCTACCTGGGAGAAAGGCAGCAAGAGGGAGCCGGGTTTAATACATTTTCTATTTTATTAATATAATAAGATTTTTCCATTGCAACCGTAGCGTTACCCTTATCCGCGCGTGTGAATAGAATATTCGGATTATCTTTACAAAATTTTATTGAATCTCTGTATGAACAAAGTAGTTTTTGTTGAATTAAGTCATTTTTATCATTAGTGTTGAGAAGTTGTGCAAATTTCGGAACCGCAATATTTCTAATAGTTGTGAGATTATTAATATTATTCCGTTTATGATTACTCTCTATGTCTTTGATAAATTCATGTATCGCTATTTTTTTATTAATGTTTGGAAGGCAGAAATTATCACCCATTTGCAAAAGATTAGAAATGTTAGGAGAAATATCTATATTGGACAGATTGATAAACCATTTTTTATTGGTATTTTCTAAAGGATGAATTATATTATTAAGAAATTTATTGGCTTCTATGTGTAAACTAATCTCTTTAGCATTATTAGTGATTGCCCTAGGACAATTTTTCGATATTTTTGTCGGTTGTGAGGTTTCATAGTGTAAGAAACAATGTATATCTATGGGTTTGATGCTGTTAATATACTTGTAATGTTGTTTTCTCTTAAGCCAATTAAATTTCTTTTTGTGCGCAGTAAACAATCTGTTATGACAATTTTTAAAGGCAATATTGTGATGTTCGAAGATTCTATTCCACGTGTGCACAGATAAACGATTAAATAATTTGTTGGTGAGATTAAAAATCCTATTATATAATGACTCTACCTGTTTATGCAAATCAAAGATTTCAATGTTCATCGCATTTGTTTTGAATTTGTACAACATGTTCTCTAGTCTTTTGATCGATCTGTGATAAAAAACATTAAATTTTATGTGGCAAAATCTACCGTACGTATTACATTTATTCTATGCAGGTACGTATTGCAATCACCTATGTTTTTTTTTAATATAATTTTTTCTTATCCTAATTACGCATATTATATATATGTGAACACGCATTTTAAACTTATTACTACTATAATACATAATACAGATTATGTAAATGTTGTCTATCTTTTTTTTTCTTTTAATTGTCGCTCTCTTTTTTCCCTATCTTTATCCAGGGTTTGATTCTGTCTGCTGAAAGGATAGTGTCAAGAGGTTTTTGCCTGATATTGAAGCCTGGGATATCTTTGACCACATATCTACTATTACCCAGACTCTTCGCAATGAGGTAAGATCCCTTGTAATTTGGCTTAAGCTTCGAGCTCGTATCTATCTTAGGGGTAGTATCTCTTATTAATACATAATCACCTGGTTTATACAGTGTCGGCTTAATGCTATGAGCATCCTTATACTCCTTATTATATGCACGCACAAGATCTGTTGCTCGCGAGGCATTGTCCCTGTTCACGTCTCTTTCTTTTTCCAGGTCCTCATCAACGGTGACAAGGGCCTTTATAAAACTGGCTAAGGAGTGATCGGAATGGCTGCGCTGGTCAAAGCCTAACATTAACTTTGCTGAACTAGATTTGGTTACCGCGTGGTAAGTATTATTTACGTATTGCATCTTCCCTAGGTAATTTTTCCACTCGTCAGCTGAGTCTATTAGCTTGGTCAAAGATGATTTCAAAAATCTATTTACTCTCTCTACTGTTCCATTAGCCCATGGTGCTGCGACAGCCACCTTGCGGTGCTTGATACCTTTGACCGAGATTGATTCTACAAATTCTTTTGAAGTAAAGGTTGTTCCTCTGTCTGAAACTAGTTCTGCGGGATTGCCAAAAATTGTAAAAATATTTTTTAGACATTCAATCGATTCCTTACTACTAGTTGATTTAGTAGGGAATAACCACGTAAATCTAGTGAAAGCGTCAATTGCAACTAATATATATTTATATTTTTCAGAAGTTTCTTGCAGTGGACCGAAGTGGTCTACATGCAGCGTATTCAAAGGTATCTTGGGCAATGGATACAGTTGAGATTCCCTCTCAAATCTATTCAACGTGTTATTGGCAGTGAGACAGGTAAGGCAATTCTCTATGTAGTCGTTTACACGCTTTCTCATGGTGGGAAACCAATAGTTTTTTATGATTCCCATCACCGTTTTCTCTACTCCGCAATGAGCCATCTTGTCATTGTAAATTCTTATTATGTTAGCTATCATTGACTCATTACAAATTTAAGCTCATTCTCAACTTTTTTGTAAACCAGACTGTCTACTAACTTATCATTGCTTTCTAATTCTAATGTTTTGCTAATTTCCAGGATTCTAGGGTCCGCTAGCTGAAGGAATTCAAGCTGTCTCTCCAGCGGAAGTTCGTCTATGTGAGCTACACTCCGGCTAAGGGCGTCTACGTGCGTCATGCGACTACCAGGGCAATGTACGATATCGAAAGTATAATTTTGTAATGCCAGAGTCCATCTAGCTATTCGCGGATTTAAATTCGCCTTGTTCACTGCATATACGACCGCGTTACAATCCGTTACTATGGTAAATTGCGTACCATATAAGTATATATGAAAACGTTCAACTGATTTAATAATCGCCAACATTTCTAGCTTGTAGCTGTGATACTTTGCCTCCGCTGCGTTCGTGCCCTGACTGAAATACGCAACCGAACCCCAGGAATTATCGCAACGCTGGAGGAGAATCACACCGAATTCTAAGCTACATGCGTCAGTATGTAACTGGGTTTCAGCCGACGGATCGTACAACCGCAGCAACGGAGTGGAGGTCAGCTCTTTTTTTAAGGACTCAAACGCCTGAATGCATTGCTCGTCAAAGTTATATACGACATCTTTTTTTAATAGATTTTGGAGCGGTTTAGCTTTTAACGCGTAGTTTTTAACGAATTTTCTAAAGTAACTCGCGAGCCCTAGGAAACGCTGTAACTTTAATTTGTCCATCGGCTGTTTATAGCTCGTGATCGCGTCCACGTGTCGGGGACTTAAAGTAATCCCGTCCGAGTTTATAATATAGCCCAGAAATTCTATTTTCTTTCTCAAAAATTTACATAGAAGCCAATCTATCATTTACATAGAAGCCAATAAATTTCTTAATAATATAATTCATTTTTTGGAAAATACCAATAAAAAATATATTTATATTTAAATATTTTGGTTTTAGATAACAATTATAATATACATTAAAAAAATTAATATTTTAAAACAACATTGGTTTTTTCAATAATAAATAATAGTATTAATATAAATTAATCTAAATAATAGTGTTAATAAATAAATTCTATATTAATTTATTCCACTTTAAAGCCGGTAGCAGTATTTAAATATATAAATTGCTAAGCCGTGTTTTCTTCAGTATATGGATCTGATTAATAATGTAATAATAAATATTTTACATATAAAGGTTCAAGTTTTAAAAATACTTACGATTAGTAATATTTTGACTTTTCATTGGAGAGCGATCATTATCTGTTAAATATAAGGAAAATTAATTTTTGAAAATAAAATAAATTCTTACTAGAAAGGTATTTATCTTATCGTGTCTCTTGCCAGAAAGTGGTAATGTAGGATATGTATTGCTATCTTCATCAGATATCGATTCATAAAATTTATCAGTATCTGAGTAATCCTTATGTCCTTTACTTTTGTCTTGTCCCCGCTTATGTATTTTATTATTTTTTTCGTTAAAATCTCCGTATGTAATGAAAAATTGTGACCGAACGGGCACGTGGTAATCCACTCCTTTCGACTTACCGGTCCAGACATCCCCGCTTTCGCCTTTGAATGGTCGCCAGTTATTTTGACCTATGGAAGTAACAAGGTATTTTGAGTGTGAATACGGATTCGATATCGCCGTGATCCTGGTCGTTGATGACACCAGTCTTCAGTTGGCTGCCAACCCTCCTTCTATAGATGGTTGTTGGAACGCAAGTAGCTTCCGTATTGGATAACGCAATCCTTGCGTCAAGTTCGAGAACCGTACGTTCACTAATTTCTCCTCTTATTTTCAGGTCACCGTGGGATGCACCGTCATCTTCACGCAGTTCAACGTCCGCAAGAGGATCACCGAGGGATTTGGATACGTGGGTAAGTACTAACACTGTTTTGATTGTTCTAGGCACTGTTTATTAACATGTGTGAACTCAGGTTATAACATTTCCTTCCGCACGCTTTACACATCAGATATCCGACGGAGTTTATCAGACAACGACGCGATACGTTCGCTTCGCTGACTGTTCGATTTACGGAAAGAGCGCTCGCTGACAACTGATCGTTGCCTTTGTATCGCCGGCGCGTCACCCGTAAATGTGACGATACGAACTTCGGTTGATTAATCGCGTGACGACTAACGTTCCGATTTTATCTAGTTCGTTCGTCTTTAACGACACACGTATCTCTAACGCTTATTGTTGGACAAGCCGCGAGTCACTCGCGGATAACGTCTTTTACGCTATCTTACTATCCTGCGGCCGACTGTGTCGAATCTCGATCGCTCCCGCCTTTTATAGGGTTGCCTGAGTGTATCGCCCCACTGTGAGGTCGCCGGCCAATGAGCGTTCGGCTCCCCGCTACTGGCGCTTCGGCCAATCTCCGCGCTGGGCAGTAGTGCGTACTCTTCACGAGTTCCTTTTTAATTTTACATCGTATAAAGTATGTTTATGAAAAGTTCTGAATATATTAATATTAATTTTATTCACTTAAAAGTTATTACAACTTATCTTAGCTATTAAAAACTTAAAATTTTGTCTAAATAAATGTAAATAAAACCTTTTATTATAAATTAAACTAGATAGGTATAAAATTATGAAAAATGATTGAAATTAAATATAATCTTGTTTCAAAGAAGTAATTTGAACTTTTCATATTTCAGCGCTTTTTAAATAACTATATTTTAATTATCAGAATTTAACCCAATTGCTTAATTATGATTAAATATACCGTAAACTTAACTTATTGACATAGTATAAATAAAAACTTAATTGTTGATATTTATTTCTTGAATACATCGTAACTTGTCAAAAATATTATATGTCAATTTTTTGACAACTAATTTGTTTTACCGCTGCATGCATAGCTAGACTATATATATATATATATATATGTTTTCTTATCCTAAATATTTGCTTGATCGTTTCCGCGTTGTAATGCGTACAACGTACCTTTCTGTCGCCAAGTTGGACATTTATTGTACTTGTTTATGCGCGCCGTATTTTGTGTGGAACATGATCGTTGAGCCATAACCTACGTAGTCCTACATCACATTTTTGTCCAACGTTGTTTCTACTATGTTCGCGAGATTTTTTCGCAAATACGTTGGAGATCTATTAGGGTGGTTTATGCTCATTATATAATAGATTTGACATTACTTAAGTAATTGGATGTTTTAGACCCGCGTACCTAGCTTTATATTGATTTCGTCTAAAATGTCTTGTGGACTCGGTTTAACATTCCGGCTACATTTGTTTACTCCATGTTATCGCCACAGAGCAATCCAATTTGTTCCAATGCTATTTGTTCGATAAAAATTTGCGGAACTCGCGCAATCATTGTGGAACAGTTTTTATGTTCCCTTATTCTTCTACTGACTCTTTTTAATAATCACTAACGCGTTATTATCATTCCAACCGTTTCTACAGGGAATCTTGTATTTTTATCTTCCGCAAGTTTTGATCACTAATATATGGACGCGAATTTAGCTCCGATCAATTATCCTAACCTAATTGTTTTTATTTATAACCTATTTACACTATGTACATACTTATAACAATCTTCTTTTTATTCCAGCTCCGGTGGGATGGCTCGGGACTCTCCTTCTGGCTGCTGTACCTGGTGTGCTGCTGCCGGGATGATCATCGCCTGGTCCATCAAGTGGTGCTGATCCGGATCGCGACCAACCGTCGGTCGCATGATCATCTGTACGTTAGGCTTTAATTGCCTTTCTTTTAGCAAGTTTTAAATCACCTAAATAAACATTACTTATTATATATCCACTAACAAAGAATATAACTACCATATTGTTGTACATTATAGAATTGCATATTAAATAAATGTGTGGTACAAAATAACAATGTAATTATTATAATAAGTTTATGATAATTACAAATAAAAGAAGATATTCCATGATTAATAACAGTGTGTGTGCGTGCGTGCGTGCGTATAATTCTTTATACATATATTAATCAATTAATAATTTTTTTTATAAAAATGTTATACAATTTTATATAATATAAATTTAATATAATATAAACAATAACATATTTACCATATGTGCCTAAAATAATTGCTCCGTATTTCATCCAGTTTGAATCACTATATTCATTTTTTATAGCTGCTTTAATAGCTGTAGTATCATAATTTTGTGGTGGCCAATAGCATGCAGATCCTTTTAACAAAAATCATTTTTTTCGGTATTGCTTCAACAGTGTCATCCTCTTTGAATCGAACGACAAGCCAAGTCATCTATATACACATATTAATCAATTCTTAAAAATTCCTAAAACTCAAATTCAATCATTAAAAACTTCTCTAATAGACAATGAAATAAACAAATAGAGATATGCCATTTGAGAAAAACTATGATTTAGCAAATAGATCAAGATCACTTAAAGAATTTTGGTTATCTCGCGCCGTTACGTTTGGAAAGTATGATAAGAGTCGGGAATAAAATAACGTGAGAGGCATTTATTGTATATAATTCAAAGTATATTCTTCGAGGAACACAGTCTTTTAAAATCGGTACATGAATATAAAATCGTTCGGATTTATAATGTGCGTCCGTACGCGGCGACTGTCAAGAACGGAATCTCTCTGTCATCTAAAAATGTTCTATCTATATCTTGCCTCAAAAACGCCCTTCGCTAGGCTTTGAGAGGCTTCGCGAATTTTCTATATGTTTTACTTGTTTGTTTCTGTACTACTCGTCTTTCGTCTCGTCTGTTATATTTTATTTATGTTTATTTGTGCCTTTGTCCTTTTCGTATATGTGAGTGTCCGTATTCGTATGCGTGTTTTCCTTGTTAATTTCAAAAAAGTATGTGACGATGTAATCGCCACAGTACTCTCCCGCCAGTGCTATACCGATAGCACGATATCGCCCGAATATTGCGCTGTTTCCGCGATAATTTCTTCGCTAGCAGACCGAGACGAATGTTAAATTTTGCTCGTCGTTATGATGGATTCAAAGCGCAAAAACAAGAATAAATATGACGCAACAAAAATACAATAATAAATAATAATAAATAATAATAAATAACAATGATATAATAATAAAATACTATTCTAACGCACGTCGCTCTCGGTCTGAGACTCGTCAATTTAATTTTACAAGAATAAAACGCGAAATAGATATACTAAGTTTCTGCTGTGTGTCGAACTCGTTTTCTTTCGTTGCGTTCCGCGGCTCGTGTCGATCATACTAAAAAATTTTCCAACGAGAACAAAATCAAAGAAAATTGAAATCGCGAGAAATATGTCTTATTTTTTAATTTTTTTTTATTTTTTTTTTTGCGGCGATTCCTCACGGCTTCGCATACTGCACATCCTGGTTCCTCGGTGCTACAGGCCCGCCTGGAATCGACTCGGGAATCGGACCTTCCTTCCCGCTCTCGTCGTTCTCTCGCTCTCTCGGGGCAGCGGCCTCGCGTCCTCTCGCGCGCCTCGCTGCTTGACCTCGGTGTCCTGGTCTCGCGCCGTCCGTCCGTCGACCGCACCCTCTCGGCCTCGTGTCGCCGACTCTGCCGAGCTGCTATCTTCTGCCTCGGGCTGTAAAATATAAGCGGGTTTTAGCCTGTCTATTGAGACAGTTTTCTCCTTGCCGTGCATACGCACGACAAAGATTTTGTCGCCTCGGCTGACCACTGCGTACGGCCCCTCGTACGACGCCTGCAGCATCTTCTTAGGCCCGTCGTGTCGCACGAACACCTGTTCGGCCGCCGCCAAGTCCCAGTAGACGAACGGCCGTCGTTCCCCGTGTCGGGTTCCGTCCACCGGTCGCAGCTTCTCAAACTGCTCACGCAGCGTCCTCACGAAGTCGGCAGCGTCGTCCTCGTTGTCCGTAGGCCGTCGGCTCAGAAATTGCCCCGGGATCCTCAGCGTCTGGCCGTACACCAGCTCCGCTGCGGTCGTCTGCAGGTCGTCTCTCCACGCTGCTCGGATCCCGAGCAGCACCGTCGGCAGTACCTCTGTCCAGCGATCTTTCTGCTGACATTTGATGGCCGCTTTGAGCTGGCGATGGAACCGCTCGACCATTCCGTTTGCCTGCGGGTGGTACGCCGTCGTCCTCAGCTGCTGCACTCCTGTCAGCTCGCTCAGCCGCCGAAAAAGATGGGACTCGAACTGGCGCCCCTGGTCCGTTGTTATCCGCACGGGCGCCCCGAATCGGCAGATCCATCCCTCGTAGAATGCCCTTGCGACCGTCTCCGTCTCCTGATCTCGAAGTGCGAACGTCTCCTGCCACCGTGTGAAGCGGTCCACGCACGTGAAACAATATCGCATGCCCTCCAAGACCGACATCACGATTATGTCCAAGTGGAAGTGCTCAAACCTGCTGGATGGAACAGCAAATTTTCCCAAGGGCGCCGAGACGTGTCGAGAGATCTTCGATCGTTGACAGGGCACGCACGCACGTGCCCAGCCGCGGCAGTCAACGTTCATCGACGGTCAGACGTAGCGCTGTGCCACGAGTCTGCCCGTCGCTTTGATTCCTGGGTGTGCCAGGTTGTGCACCAGGTTAAATGCGGTCCGCCGAAAGGGCCTTGTCAGGAACGGCCGCGGTGTCGGTGTCGTCGTGTCACAATATACTTTGATTCCCGTTCCGGGAATCTGCACTTTCTCGAGCCTCAATCCAGTCTCTCGCCTGGTGTAGTCGTCCAGCTCCTTGTCTGTCCCCTGCGACTCCGCCAGTGCAGCGTAGTCCAAGGGAGAATTCAGCTCCTCGACTCGAGACAATGCGTCCGCCACGATGTTCTTCTCGCCTGTCACGTGCCGAATGTCGGTGGAAAACTGTCCGATAAAGTCCAAGTGGCGGAACTGGCGCGGCGTGCTCTTCTCCGGTCTTTGTCGAAAGGCGTAGATTAGTGGTTTGTGATCCGTGTAAATCACAAACGCGCGCGCCTCCAGCATATATCTGAAGTGCTTGACCGCCAGGTAGATCGCCAGCAGTTCCCTGTCGAACGCGCTGTACTTCTCTTCGGCTGGGCTTAGCTTCTTCGAGAAGAAGGCTAACGGCTCCCATCCGTCGCTGCCTCACTGTTGCAAAGTCGCGCCGATGCTCTGCTCCGACGCGTCAGTGAACAGGGCGAGCTCTGCGTCTAACCTGGGGTGTCGCAAGAGCGCGGCCTGTGCCAAGCTTTCCTTCGACTCCTCAAATGCTTTCTGCGCTCGCGGCGTCCATGATATTGCCGCTGTTCCCTTGACGTTGCCGTGGAGGAGGTCGTTCAGCGGCGCCAACATCTCGGCGGCTCTCGGTAGAAATCGTCGGTAGAAATTGAGCATGCCCAGGTATCTACGCAGCTCCTTCGCCGTTCCTGGCTCTCGACACGCGAGGATTGCCTCCACACGTGTCGGCAGTGGTCGCGTTCCCCCGTCGGAAACTTTGTATCCGAGGAACTCCACTTTCCGCTGCTCGAACACGCACTTCGCGGGGTTGATTGTCACCCCGTATTCTCGCAGACGCTCAAACACTGCTCTCAGATGGTCTCGATGCTCCTCCTCCGATGTCGACGCGACCAGGATGTCATTGACGTACGTGTAGCAGAATTCCAAGCCGCGTAAAACTTCGTCGATAAAACGTTGGAACGTCTGCGCCGCGTTTCTCAGTCCAAATGACATGTACGGAAATTTGTACATGCCAAACGGTGTGGTGATCGCCGTCTTCGGGATGTGCTCCTCCGCCACTGGAATCTGGTGGTACGCCCGCACCAGATCTATTGTCGTAAATAGTTCCTTACCTCCGAGGGCCTGCGCAAAGTCCTGAATATGGCGCACAGGATATCGGTCCGGGATCGTCCTCGCGTTCAGCGCTCTATAGTCGCCGCAAGGTCGCCACTCTTCGCCCTTTTTCGGCACCATATGTAAGGGCGCCGACCAACTGCTTTTGGAAGGTCGCGCGATTCCGGCTTTTACCATGCGTCGGAACTCCTTTTTTGCGGCTGCGAGTCGATCAGGAGCGAGTCTTCGTGGTCTGCACGCGACAGGCGGTCCCGGCGTCGTCTCAATAACGTGTCGCGTAGCGTGAATTGTTTCTCTCATTTGTCCGCTCGGCCTTGTGATGTCCGCGTATTCTATCAACAACCGGTGATATGGTGTCTCTCCCGTGATTGTTTTTATCTGTGGTACATCGCAATGGACACAACGCCCACGTGCGGTCAAAGTCGTCAGCTGGTCGACAAGGCGAGAATTGCGCAAATCTACGAGAAGGCCATAATGCGCAAGAAAATCGGCGCCTATTATCGGCCTTGATACATCCGCGATCACGAATCTCCACGCGAATGCCCGACGCAATCCGAAGTTTAATGTCATGTTCTCCGTTCCGTAAGTAAAAATTGGTGTGCCGTTGGCGGCCGATAACTCATAGGTCGATCTCTGTCGTGGACCTCGAACCATCTTTCGAGGAAACACGCAGAGATCCGCGCCCGTGTCAATTAAAAATTTTGTCTTAGTATTCGCGTCAGTTACAAACAAGCGGCGCGCACTGTGTCCCGGGTTGCTCGCCGCTTCTAACGACCTGCTCCTGCGTTTCCCTGCATTTGCATCGAACAGGGTGGTCTGCACTGTCGTGCTTCCGCTCCGAACTGCCAATGGTACCAGCATACGCCGCTGGCCGGTGGACCACGGCTGCTGGATCGCGCTCGCGGGCGCGAACGCGAACACGAACGAGGTCACGAACGACATCGATCCTCCTCTCTGTATCTATTATCTCCGATCGCTTCAATGAACTTACGTATGGCCGTCAGTTGTTCCGCCATCTCCTGTTGCATGGCCAGCCGCATTTGTGCCAGTCGCACCTCCAATCTGGCCGCCTGCATCGCAATCGGGGCCGCCTGCATCGCGATCGGGGCCGCCTGCTGCATTTGCACTTGCGGCTGCTCGAACGCCCGCGCCTCTGTCTCCACGCGCGAACCGGCCACTCCGTCGTCTCGCGTCACAAGCATGTCAAGTCGTTTTTTTTTTTTTTTTTTTTCACACACTGCTGGTTACTCTCACTCTCGTGTACGATCGGACAGATCGTCTCACTCGTCGAAATGTAAAAACAAAAATGTACTGCTCTCTCATGCAAACACAAAAAAATCGCGAATTCCCGTTCGTTTGCGATCACGTCGGAGTCACCACTTTGGTTATCTCGCGCCGTTAAGTTTGGAAAGTATGATAAGAGTCGGGAATAAAATAACGTGAGAGGCATTTATTGTATATAATTCAAAGTATATTCTTCGAGGAACACAGTCTTTTAAAATCGGTACATGAATATAAAATCGTTCGGATTTATAATGTGCGTCCGTACGCGGCGACTGTCAAGAACGGAATCTCTCTGTCATCTAAAAATGTTCTATCTATATCTTGCCTCAAAAACGCCCTTCGCTAGGCTTCGAGAGGCTTCGCGAATTTTCTATATGTTTTACTTGTTTGTTTCTGTACTACTCGTCTTTCGTCTCGTCTGTTATATTTTATTTATGTTTATTTGTGCCTTTGTCCTTTTCGTATATGTGAGTGTCCGTATTCGTATGCGTGTTTTCCTTGTTAATTTCAGGGAAGTATGTGACGATGTAATCGCCACAGAATAAAATAAATATCATAACTGACTCTTCTTTGAAATCTTTTTCGTTACTTTTATTCTCAACATGCTAATTTTTTATTTTAAAATTTTCATGGGCTACAGATATTCAGATTTAATTACTTGATAACCTGTTAGTAATCAATTTCGGATCTCAATCTAAACTGAACTTTTATCTATCAACGAATAAATATATGTCAACAAATAAAATTCAATGAAAAAAATTAGTTATAAAATTTACACAATTTAACAAGAGAGTTTTTTAAAATATAATTATTGAAAGACTAGAGAAAAGGAATATTTTTTTAAACAAATAAAATACACGAATAATGTGGCTAGATCGCTCTCATTGTAAATAACGGGGATAGAGAATCTATTGCTAGAAGAGCCAATACAGCATCGATTTGAGATAGTTCCTCATCTTGGCAAATTTGCTGTATTGGCTCTTCTAGCAATAGATTCTCTATCCCCGTTATTTACAATGAGAGCGATCTAGCCACATTATTCGTTTGTTACACACGTTGGCTTAATATGCGTGTTTTCATTAGTTTACATTGGGACGAGAGAAGTATATCGGTTTGTTAAGGTGTCTGAATAGCTCAGCTGGAAGAGCAGTCGCCCGGCAAGCGGAAGGTCTCAGGTTCGATTCCCGATTCAGCCGACCTTTTCAGACCGATATATTTTTCTCGTCTACATTAATTTTAGGAAATTTAGGAAGTTTGTTAGGAGGAAAGAGGAGCTTAGAAAATCTCGATTTGGAGATAGTTCCTCATCTTGACAAATTTACTGTATTGGATCTTCTAGCAATAGATTCTCTATCCCCGTTAAATAAAAATCTCTAAAAACTCATCTTTAAAAAAAGGTAAAAAAAGGCGACCAGTTAAGGGCACGCCATTAACAAAAATTATCCATTGCAAACCCATGTAGAATCCTATCCTATTGCAAACCCATGTAGAATCCTATAAAAAATTAATCATTGCAAACCCATGTAGAATCCTAGGCAAAATTAACCATTGCAAACCCATGTAGAATCGTACCCATTGCAAACCTATGTAGAATCCTATGAAAAATTAACCATTGCAAACTCATGTAGAATCCTATGAAAAATTAACCATTGCAAACCCATGTAGAATTGTATTAAAAATTATCCATTGCAAACTTATGTAGAATCCTACATTGCAAACCCATGTACAATAGAATTGTATGAAAAATTATCGATTATAAACCCATGTACAATCGTAACAAAAGTAATGAAATAAAAAAAAAATTGCGCCAAGTGAAAGTAGAAACTTGTACCAGTGGAAAATTAAAGTTGCAGACATATATAGAGTCGTATAATGAATCAGTAAAAATTTAAATTTGCAAATGTAGAATCGTACCATAAAAAAACTTATCTTTTAAAAAAAAAATAAACAAGATGCCAAGTCCATGCGCCATGTGAAAAAGAAATAAAAAAATTTTAGTTAAAAAAACTGGGCGCGCTGCTAAGTTTCAAAATTACAATGCACCTTAAAGTAACATTAATTAATTTAAACACAAAACATATTTTAACTGTAATGAGTTTAAAAGTAACAATTTAATTTTAATATTGTTAGAATATTATTTAGCAGCGCTCCCAGTTTTTTTAACTAAAATTTTTTTATTTCTTTTTCACATGGCGCATGGACTTGGCATCTTGTTTATCTTTTTTTTTAAAAGATAAGTTTTTTTATGGTACGATTCTACATTTGCAAATTTAAATTTTTACTGATTCATTATACGACTCTATATATGTCTGCAACTTTAATTTTCCACTGGTACAAGTTTCTACTTTCACTTGGCGCAATTTTTTTTTATTTCATTACTTTTGTTACGATTGTACATGGGTTTATAATCGATAATTTTT